TCAGTGTTACATGATCCTTCAGAAATCATTCTAATATACTGATTTTCTTATTGTGATCAATGTTGAAAACCGTTTTTGCTTCTTAATATTTTTGTGGAAATGGATACTTTTATTTCAGTTCAAACGAAGAGCATTTATGTGGAATAGAAATCTTTTGTAACTATAAAACACTGTCACGTTTGATCATTTTAATGCATCCTTCCTGAATAAAAGTTTTTTTTTTTTTTTAAATAATCACACTGACCCTTAACCTTCAACAGGTAGTGTTTAAAGTCAGTTCTTAAGTTCCACTAATGTCTCACAATGCTTTGTCATCATTTTCAACACTATATTTCAAAAGTAAATTGTAGTTTAACAGATTGTAGATGTTTAACCGTTCGTTTGCAACATCATGAATCATTCAGCTTATCAAGGATCATTGCTGGTCTTTGAAGTCCTAATGAGTGTTTTCACATGATCGCTTGAGGTCTTTGACCCTGGACCCTAACTGACCTCTGCTCTGTCCCGTAGCTGAACCCCTGCCGCTGATGGAGCTGTGCAGGAGGGCGGCACGACAGGCTCTGGGACGCCACCGAATCCATCACATCCAGTCTCTGCCACTGCCACAGACGCTCAAGAACTACCTGCAGTACCAATGAGAGACACAAACACACACAGCCAAAAAATCACCTACGTTCACTGAAAACGCACTCAGAAATGATCTGCAGTGCTGTAGAAGCTTTGTGCTGTGCACAGACTTTAAGTGTCGTAGAGACGGACGCTACAGATTTGAGCAGCCGGACGACGAGTATCTGGTTTTATACATGATTATGAGGTGAGTAATGAGAAGGTGTCTGTATTTGTGTGTGAGAATGACTCAAGTCTTCCATGGAAATAATTTTCTTATGAGCTGATGATTTTTGCTTTTTCTTTCACTTTTATCTAAACACTAAGGACCTAGCTTTCTTGCACATAAATCCAACATAATTATATTAAACTAATGCATTTTATTCCAGACAACAGGTTCTTATTCTTTCACCAGTTTTAACTAATACACATCCGCAGTGCCTGAGATCTTTTAAAATCTTTTTCTGTTCATGTTTATTATGAGTTTGCTTTCGTTTGTGTTCATGACGAAGCTGATTAAATCAGTTTTCTGATGTTTTTAGCGTATAAACACGCCTTTGAAATATGCCACGGCCTCTGTCAAGCAGACTTTTTTACAGATTTGATTTTTATATGAAATGGATGCTTGTCTTTTTCACGAATCCAACAGAAACCCGCAAGACAGCAGACACGACTTTGTTCATTCGTGACCTTTGAAATGTGAATAAAAATAAAACTCCAAAGCCAAACGCTGTCTGCTTCTCTTTTACTTCTGTAGTCTCACTTGCGTTTAAAATCACATGTTTGATTCTGATGTGACGACATGTTTATAAGTGTTTTCACAGTAGTTTTGACTAACCTGCTTATGCTGTATTTACATCGTTCTAAT